TGTTTTTACACCATAACATGTTGTGATCAGAGATGTTTTCTGTTTCAAGAGGACCCTCTTCGCTGGATATTCATTATTCTTAACTGCATGAACACAGAGAGAAGGCAACAGATTTGCAACTGAATGTCTGATTATTCAGTTGAAGACTTGCTTCTCTCTAATTCATATACATAATTCATAATTCAAGTAGAGACATCACCTTGCCAACAAAGGTCCGTATAGTAAAAGCTATGGTTTTCCCAGTAGTGATGTATGGAAGTGAGAGCTGGACCATAAAGTAGGCTGATTGCTGAAGAATTGATGCTTTTGAATTATGGTGCTGGAGGAGACTCTTGAGAGTCCCATGGACTGCAAGAAGATCAAACGTATCCATTCTTAAGGAAATCAGCCCTGAGTGCTCACTGGAAGGACAGATCGTGAAGCTGAGACTCCAATACTTTGGCCACCTCATGAGAAGAGAAGACTCCCTGGAAAAGACCCTGATGTTGGGAAAGATGGAGGGCACAAGGAGAAGGGGACGACAGAGGATGAGATGGTTGGATGGTGTTCTTGAAGCTACCAGCATGAGTTTGATCAAACTGCGGGAGGCAGTGGAGGACAGAAGTGCCTGGCGTGCTCTGGTCCATGGGGTCACGAAGAGTCGGACATGACTAAACGACTAAACAACAACAACAAATTCATACCCTTTTTGGACAAAATATAACAATAAAGATTTAGATTGGAAACTTACTATACACGGGTTTGGTTGTCAACCCTGGAGCTGTGAGAGAAGAATTTGATAAGAAAAGCAACCTTGATCAATATTTGTGGAGTAAAGTTCAGTTGAGTAACAAGCATTTTACCACCCCAGCATGTTGTCATAAATGGACAAGCAACAGAGACTTAAGTGTGTTTAGACTTTAACAACCTTAGAACCTTGAAGAGAAACATAGGAGGACTCTTGACCAAGGTTAGCTGCTTTTCTGAAGAAAATTGTAAATATCGTTAAATGAAACAGAGGATGTGTAGCCCTAGGGATCTAGTGTTTTGGCTCTACACATACTAAAATAAACCAGGATATCACAATTTTTCAAGTTTTGACCTAATTTTGTTCCTGTTTACTCTCATCTTCTCATCAGAAGGTGATATCCAACATTAGTCATATTCAGAGTAGGTCCACTGAAATAGATTTGGTGGACAGAGTGACTGAAGAACTATGGATGGAGGCTCGCAACATTATACAGGAGGCAGCAACGAAAACCATCCCAATGAAAAGGAAATGCAAGAAAGCAAAGTGGCTGTCCAACGAGGCCTTACAAATAGCGGAGGAGAGAAGGCAAGCAAAATGCAAGGGAGATAGTGAAAGATACAGGAAATTGAATGCAGATTTCCAAAAAATAGCAAGGAGAGACAAGAAGGCCTTCTTAAACGAGCAATGCAAAGAAATAGAGGAAAACAACAGAATGGGAAGAACCAGAGATCTGTTCAAGAAAATTGGAGATATGAAAGGAACATTTCATACAAAGATTACCATAATAAACGACAAAAGTGGTAAGGACCTAACAGAAGCAGAAGACATCAAGAAGAAGTGGCAAGAATACACAGAGGAATTATACTAGAAAGATATGAATGGCTCATACACCCCTGTTAGTGTGGTTGCTGAACTGGAGCCAGACATCCCGGAGAGTGAAGTCAAAAGCGCCTTAGAAAGCACTGCTAGTAACAAGACCAGTGGAAGTGATGGTATTCGAGCTGAACTATTTAAAATTTTAAAAGATGATGCTGTTAAGGTGCTACACTCAGTATGCCAGCAAGTTTGGAAAACTCAGCAGTGGCCAGTGGATTGGAGAAGATCAGTCTACATCCCAATCCCAAAGAAGGGCAGTGCCAAAGAATGCTCCAACTACCGCACAATTGCACTCATTTCACACGCTAGCAAGGTTATGCTTAAAATTCTACAAGGAAGGCTCAAGCAGTATGTGGACCGAGAACTCCCAGAAGTGCAAGCTGGATTTAGAAGAGGCAGAGGAACCAGAGACCAAATTGCAAACATGCACTGGATTATGGAGAAAGCTAGAGAGTTCCAGAAAGACATCTACTTCTGCTTCATTGACTATGCAAAAGCCTTTGACTGTGTCGACCACAGCAAACTATGGCAAGTTCTTAAAGAAATGGGAGTGCCTGATCACCTCATCTGTCTCCTGAGAAATCTCTATGTAGGACAAGAAGCTACAGTTAGAACTGGATATGGAACAACTGATTGGTTCAAAATTGGGAAAGGAGTACGGCAAGTCTGTATATTGTCTCCCTGCTTATTTAACTTATATGCAGAATTCATCATGCGAAAGGCTGGGCTGGATTAATCCCTAGCCGGAATTAAGATTGCCCGAAGAAATATGAACAACCTCAGATATGCATATGACACAACCTTGATGGCAGAAAGTGAGGAAGAATTAAAGAACCTTTTAATGAGGGTGAAAGAGGAGAGCGCAAAATATGGTCTGAAGCTCAACATCAAAAAAATGAAGATCAAGGCCACTGGTCCCATCACCTCCTGGCAAATAGAAGGGGAAGAAATGGAGACAGTGAGAGATTTTACTTCCTTGGGCTCCATGATCACTGCAGATGGTGACAGCAGCCACGAAATTAAAAGACGCCTGCTCCTTGGGAGAAAGGCGATGGCAAACCTAGACAGCATCTTAAAAAGCAGAGACATCACCTTGCCAACAAAGATCTGTATAGTTAAAGCTATCGTTTTCCCAGTAGTGATGTATGGAAGTGAGACCTTTTAGGATGAAGCTGGAGGCCTCCAATATCCTTGCCCCTATTAAATTACTAATATATTTGTGGGCAGGATGTTTTTAATGTATTTCTCTTTCCTCTTGGTTTTACTTCATCTCATGGGTGAGAGTTGCTTGTCTGTTTGGTTGGTTGTAAATCACTTTGTTGTTAAATAGGTTAATTAATTAGTTATCAGGTAGTTAAGGTTTGGTGAGCACCCTCTGAGCCTTGCCTTCTGAGTTGTGAGACCCACTGACAGAATAAGAAGTACCTTTGAGGCCAACCTGTAAAACCCCATCTAAGTTATGGGGCTTAAGGTGAAATGATGCCTCTTATTCTGGTCAGAGTTGGTTCACCCTGTTTGCTATTTGAAGATAGTATTGTGCACTTTGGTTCCCTTCAGCAGATCTGTTGTGTTAAATTAAATGTGGCTCATTCCGCCCAGTCTGTGTATCTTATTTCCCTATGTGGTTACAAAAGATGTTTCAAGCATGCAGATTTATGCTTACATTCTACTTACATTCCAATCAGTTTTCCAAAATCTTTATTCAAAAGTCTGTTCAATTTCTTCTTTGTTTTGAAATAATGACTCAGTTACCTTTGGAACATATATCACGAATGCTTTCAAACTTTCAAATATGCACTAATAACAACACCTAAGAGCTCCACCCCCCCCCCCCATTCTTAATCAATTTCCCACTATTTATCTTTCATACTTCATTCCTATTGAGAAAAATTCAGCCTTGTAATGAAAAAGTAGGACTCACCAATAGGAGTAGAAGGAGCTGTTCACAAAGAAAGAGGAACATTGATATGCATTGGTAAGTAATAAGCATGCCACTATTATCTGTTAATATTCATCAGTATTTTTAGCCAGTGAACCCAGCAACCCTGTGCCCCTTGAGGGAACTTCCTTGTGGGCCACAGAAATAATCAGATCTCCCTCTGTCAGAGCAGAGGGAGATGTCTGAGGTTGACCTTGGTTCCCTTCTGCAGATTTGCAGTGTTAAATTAAATGTGGCTCAGTTCACCCAATCTGTGTGTCTTATTTCCCTGTGTGGTCACAAAAGAAGTTTCTACATGCAGACTTACACTCTGTGACTATAGTGGTCGGTTCTTCAGTTGTGGATAGAACTAGTAAGAAAGAACAGAATCAATCAGATTGTGGTAGAATGTGTTAATATTAAGCCAAACATTGAACAACCAAACCTTCTCTCCATGGAACTCTGACAACTGTAGCTTTGAGAGGGCGATGAGGGCCTCCTAACAATTCTCCACACCCTTAACAAGCTAAAATTCCCAAGAATCTTTGGGGAAAGTATCTGTGGCACAAGTGGCAATCCTTGCAGTAAGGGCCTGAAGGTATACTACTCAGTATAACTAACACTGGATATATTTTAGTGGACCACCAAACCCAAGAAGCATCTAGCCTCAGCACTACTGCATCAGGCTAGAAATGGAAGATTTCAAAAAAGCTGATGGTAGTTTGTTCCTAGAAGAAAAGAAATGGGGAACAAAGTTGTAACCAAAGGCCAGGTTGCTATGCCATGCCTAATACAGCTCAGTAGAGGTAAAGGTACCCCTGCCCGTGCGGGCCAGTTCTGTCCGACTCTGGGGTTGCGCGCCCATCTCGCTTAAGAGGCCAGGGGCCAGCGCTGTCCGGAGACACTTCCGGGTCACGTGGCCAGCATGACGAAGCTGCTCTGGTGAGCCAGCGCAGCACACGGAAATGCCGTTTACCTTCCCACTATAAAGCAGTACCTACTTATCTACTTGCACTTAGGGGTGCTTTCGAACTGCTAGGTGGGCAGGAGCTGGGACTGAATGGCGGGAGCTCACCCTGCCGCGGGGATTCGAACCACCGACCATGCGATCGGCAAGTCCTAGGCGCTGAGGTTTTACCCACAGCGCCACCCGCATTACAAGATACCTATTTCTTCCAGTTTCTTACACACACACACACACACACACACACACACACACAAACCACACATAATTTCCATTCAATTTTCCAAACTGTTTTTCAAAAGTTGGTTCAATTTCTTCCTTGTTTTGAAATAATGACTCAGTTACCTTTGGAACATATATCACTAATACTTTCAGACTTTCAAATATGTACTAGCAACTACACCTAAGAGCTCCCCCCCCCCCAATTCTTAATCGATATCCCACTATGTATCTTTCATACTTCATGCCTATTGAGAAAGATTCAGACTTGGAATAAAAAAAGTAGGACTCACCAGGAGGAGTAGAAGAAGCTGTTCACAAAGAAAGAGAAACATTGATATGCATTGGTAAGAAATAGGCATGTCACTATTATCTATTAATATTCATCAGTATTTTTACCCAATGAAGCCAGCAACCCTGTGCCCCTTGAGGGAACTGCCCTGTGGGCCACAGAAATAATCAGATCTCCCTCTGTCAGAGCAGAGGGAGATGTCTAAGGTTGACCTTGGTTCCCTTCTGCAGATTTGCAGTGTTAAATTAAATGTGGCTCAGTTCACCCAATCTGTGTGTCTTATTTCCCGGTGTGGTCACAAAAGAAGTTTCTACATGCAGACTTACACTGTGTGACTATAGTGGTTGGTTCTCCAGTTGTGGATAAAACTAGTAAGAAAGAACAGAATCAATCAGATTGTGGTAGAATGTGTTAATATTAAGCCAAACATTGAACAACCAAACCTTCTCTCCATGGAACTCTGACAACTGTAGCTCTGAGAGGGGAATGGGGGCCTCCTAACAGTTCTCAGCACCCTTAACAAGCTAAAATTTCCAAGAATCTTTGGGGAAAGGATCTGTGGCACAAGAGGCAATCCTTGCAGTAAGGGCCTGAAGGTTTACTACTCAGTGTAACTAACACTGGATATTTTTCTGTGGACCACCAAACCCAAGAAGCATCTAGCCTCAGCACTACTGCATCAGGATAGAAATGGAAGATTTCAAAAAAGCTGATGGTAGTTTGTTCCTAGAAGAAAAGAAATGGGGAACAAAGTTGTAACCAAAGGCCAGGTTGCTATGCCATGCCTAATACAGCTCAGTAGAGGTAAAGGTACCCCTGCCCGTACGGGCCAGTCGTGTCTGACTGTGGGGTTGCGCGCCCATCTCGCTTAAGAGGCCAGGAGCCAGCGCTGTCCGGAGACACTTCCGGGTCATGTGGCCAGCGTGATGAAGCTGCTCTGGCGAGCCTGCACCAGCGCAGCACACGGAAACGTTGTTTACCTTCCCGCTATAAAGCAGTACCTATTTATCTACTTGCACTTAGGGGTGCTTTCGAACTGCTAGGTGGGCAGGAGCTGGGACAGAACGACGGGAGCTCACCCTGCCGCTGGGATTCAAACCGCTGACTATGTGATCGGCAAGTCCTAGGCGCTAAGGTTTTACCCACAGTGCAACCCGCATTACAAGATACGTATTGCACCAGTTTCTTACACACACACAAACACACACACATCACACATAATTTCCATTCAATTTTCAAAACTGTTTTTCAAAAGTTGGTTCAATTTCTTCCTTGTTTTCAAATAATGACTCAGTTACCTTTGGAACATATATCACTAATACTTTCAGACTTTCAAATATGTACTAGCAACTACACCTAAGGGCTCCCCCCCCCCTCTAATTCTTAATCGATTTCCCACTATGTATCTTTCATACTTCATGCCTATTGAGAAAGATTCAGACTTGGAATAAAAAAAGTAGGACTCACCAGGAGGAGTAGAAGGAGCTGTTCACAAAGAAAGAGAAACATTGATATGCATTGGTAAGAAATAGGCATGCCACTATTATCTGTTAATATTCATCAGTATTTTTACCCAGTGAACCCAGCAACCCTGTGCCCCTTGAGGGAACTGCCCTGTGGGCCACAGAAATAATCAGATCTCCCTCCATGAGAGCAGAGAGAGATGTCTGAGGTTGACCTTGATTCCCTTCTGCAGATTTGCAGTGTTAAATTAAATGTGGCTCCGTTCACCCAATCTGTGTGTCTTATTTCCCTGTGTGGTCACAAAAGAAGTTTCTACATGCAGACTTACACTCTGTGACTATAGTGGTCGGTTCTCCGGTTGTGGATAGAACTAGTAAGAAAGAACAGAATCAATCAGATTGTGGTAGAATGTGTTAATATTAAGCCAAACATTGAACAACCAAACCTTCTCTCTGTGGAACTCTGACAACTGTAGCTTTGAGAGGGCAATGAGGGCCTCCTAACAATTCTCCACACCCTTAACAAGCTAAAATTCCCATGAATCTTTGGGGAAAGTATCTGTGGCACAAGTGGCAATCCTTGTAGTAAGGGCCTGAAGGTACACTACTCAGTGTAACTAACACTGGATATATTTTAGTGGACCACCAAACCCAAGAAGCATCTAGCCTCAGCACTACTGCATCAGGCTAGAAATGGAAGATTTCTAAAAAGCTGATGGTAGTTTGTTCCTAGAAGAAAAGAAATGGGGAACAAAGTTGTAACCAAAGGCCAGGTTGTTATGCCATGCCTGATACAGCTCAGTAGAGGTAAAGGTACCCCTGCCCGTGCGGGCCAGTCGTGTCTGACTGTGGGGTTGCGCGCCCATCTCGCTTAAGAGGCCGGGGGCCAGTGCTGTCCGGAGACACTTCCGGCTCACGTGGCCAGCGTGACGAAGCTGCTCTGGTGAGCCAGCGCAGCACATGGAAATGCCATTTACCTTCCCGCTATAAAGCAGTACCTATTTATCTGCTTGCACTTAGGGGTGCTTTCAAACTGCTAGGTGGGCAGGAGCTGGGACAGAACGACGGGAGCTCACCCTGCCGCTGGGATTCAAACCGCTGACCATGTGATCGGCAAGTCCTAGGCGCTGAGGTTTTACCCACAGTGCCACCCGCGTTACAAGATACCTATTGCTTCCAGTTTCTTACACACACACACACACACACACACACACACACACCACACATAATTTCCATTCAATTTTCCAAACTGTTTTTCAAAAGTTGGTTCAATTTCTTCCTTGTTTTGAAATAATGACTCAGTTACCTTTGGAACATATATCACTAATACTTTCAGACTTTCAAATATGCACTAGAAACTACACCTAAGAGCTCCCCCCCCCAATTCTAAATCGATTTCCCACTATGTATCTTTCATACTTCATGCCTATTGATAAAGATTCAGACTTGGAATAAAAAAAGTAGGACTCACCAGGAGGAGTAGAAGAAGCTGTTCACAAAGAAAGAGAAACATTGATATGCATTGGTAAGAAATAGGCATGTCACTATTATCTATTAATATTCATCAGTATTTTTACCCAATGAAGCCAGCAACCCTGTGCCCCTTGAGGGAACTGCCCTGTGGGCCACAGAAATAATCAGATCTCCCTCTGTCAGAGCAGAGGGAGATGTCTAAGGTTGACCTTGGTTCCCTTCTGCAGATTTGCAGTGTTAAATTAAATGTGGCTCAGTTCACCCAATCTGTGTGTCTTATTTCCCTGTGTGGTCACAAAAGAAGTTTCTACATGCAGACTTACACTCTGTGACTATAGTGGTCGGTTCTCCAGTTGTGGATAGAACTAGTAAGAAAGAACAGAATCAATCAGATTGTGGTAGAATGTGTTAATATTAAGCCAAACATTGAACAACCAGACCTTCTCTCCATGGAACTCTGACAACTGTAGCTTTGAGAGGGCAATGAGGGCCTCCTAACAATTCTCCACACCTTTAACAAGCTAAAATTCCCATGAATCTTTGGGGAAAGTTTTTGTGGCACAAGTGGCAATCCTTGCAGTAAGGGCCTGAAGGTATACTACTCAGTATAACTAACACTGGATATATTTCAGTGGACCACGAAACCCAAGAAGCATCTAGCCTCAGCACTACTGCATCAGGCTAGAAATGGAAGATTTATAAAAAGCTGGTGATAGTTTGTCCCTCGAAGAAAGGAAATGGGGAATAAAGCTGTAACCAAAGGCCAGGTTGCTATGCCATGCCTAATACAGCTCAGTAAAAGGCAAAGGTACCCCCTGACCATTACGTACAGTCGTGGACGACTCCTGGTTTGCGCGCTAATCTCACTCAGTAGGCTAAGGGAGCTGGTGTTTGTCTGCAGACAGCTTCCGGATCATGTGGCCAGCATGATTAAGCCGCTTCTGGTGAACCAGAGCAGCGCTCGGAAACGCTGTTTACCTTCCCGCCGGAGTGGTACCTATTTATCTACTTGCACTGGACATGCTTTCAAATACAGCTCAGTATTTGCTTCCAGTTACACACACACACACACATTTCCATTCAATTTTCCAAACTCTTTTTCAAAAGTTGGTTCAGTTTCTTCCTTGTTTTGAAATATTGACTCAGTTACCTTTGGAACATGTATCACTAATACTTTCAGATTTTCAAATATGTACTAGCAACCACACCTAAGAGCTCTTTCCCCCAATTCTGAATGGAATTTCTACTAGGTATCTTTCATACTTCCTGCCTATTGAGAGAAAGATTCAGTCTTGTCATTGGCAGAGGTTCTGTGGTTTCTGGTTGGAAAAGTTGCTCCACTAATTACACTTACATGCCAGCTGAGTCTTATGCAGAGACTTCAGTTCCTAAGCTTTGAGTGTGTCATAGCAACAACAGTCACCACAATCTAATGATTAGAAGTCAGGTAGTAAGAGGAACTGAATAACCTCTGCAGAGGCGACTCCAACATCTACCACATTAACATAAATTATTCGCACGACACCTTAGCCCCATATTCAAGGAGATTATTTCAGCAAATATTCAAGGAGGATGTTTCAGCAAGGTGGATGTGACCATGCTTGTTTCAAGACCAGACTTGAGGAACAGAGTCATAGACCAGTGTTTCCCAACCACTGTTCCGCGGCACACTAGTGTGCCGCGAGATGTTGCCTGGTGTGCCGTGGGGAAAATTCGAAAGATTTTTTTTTTTTGTAAAAGTCAAATTAGGTCCTAATCTATCCCTCGAGCGCCTCTTGTCCGTTATTGTGACGCATGAAGCGTGTTCCCGCCCACTCCCCGCCCTCCCTTGCTTCTCTCTCTCTCTGTGGCGTTCTCCGCCGCTTCCTGCTGGGCATGCGCAGCTCGCCTCGCGCTTCCATTCCGGCCCCTCCTTCCCCCGACTACCCCGCCGCTCCGTTCCTTTCTCTTTCTCGCGTGTCAGAGAGCGGCGGCGCGAGCGCGGCAGTTCCCTCAGGGCTGACGGAGGGCTCGAGGAGGAGGAGGCAGGACGTGGAGGCGGAGAAAGCGGCGGCGGCCACCCCCCACCTCCGGCTCGAGGCCCGCGTAGAAAGCTGAGGGGGAGAGATAGATAGAGGTGGGCGGCGGCGGCGGCGGTGACGACCACGACCAACCGCCACAGTAGTTGTAGCGGTGGCGACAGCGAGCAGGGACTCCCGCTCTCTCTCCGTCGTGTCTCTCTCTCTCTCTCTCTCTCCCGGGCCCGTCCATTGAGTCTCCCACGCGCCTCGGCTACAAGATGAGCATCGAGATCCCGCCGGGTCTGACTGAGCTGCTGCAGGGCTACACGGTGGAGGTGCTGCGGCACCGGCCGCCAGACCTGCTGGCCTTCGCCGCCGAGTACTTCGCCAAGCCGCGCTCTCCTTCCTGCCTCGCTTTGCTGCCTCCTCCCCCCCACCCCAAAGCTTGGAGGTTCCCCGGCGCCGACCCGCAGGTTTGACCCCCTTCTCACACCTGTTCGCGCTCCTTGCACGGAAGGGGGCGGATGGGGAGGAACGGGGCTCGCCGCTGCCTCCGCTCACCCTCCCCCCCTCCGCCGGCGGTCCCGCGATTCTTGGCTTTTTGGCGGTTGGCACAGAAGGAAGGCAAGGGGGAGGGGAAAAATTGAATCTTACACTTTCGTGCGTCCCTCCCGGCGTGACGCTGCGCGCTGACGTCACGGGGCTGTAATGGTGGTGTGCCTCGAGATTTTTTTCATGAAACAAGTGTGCCTTTGCCCAAAAAAGGTTGGGAAACACTGTTAGACAATGGCATACAAATGAAATAGAAGTCAAGGAAATCTCTGGAAGAGATTTGTGCTTGCTTCTCCAGACAGTCTGTGATTGCCATCAACAGATCAGGCTCTTCAAAATATACATACCACCTAATTTTCAGGTTTCTCGTTAGCAGATGCTCTGCATGAGAAACCTGTTCTATGATATTTCTGTGTACATACTCAGGATTAGGATTTAGTACTTTAGTATGGGAGTCAGAGTACTCTTACCAGCAGCAGTAGTTGCTTCTGTAGTTGCTTCCGGGGTGACAGAAGCTAGTTCGTGAAGAGAAACAAAGTAACAGAGTAAGAGAAAATGGTGCAGTAAAATGAAATCAAAACTGTATATTGTACTAATGCTTTTAAATATCTAGCAGATTCTTCTTACTAGGATCAATGTGTTCTGTGGTTGTTTCTTGCAAAATGTGTTCTGTAGTTGTTTCTTGCAAGATGTGTTCTGTGGTTGTTTCTTGCAAAAGAAAGGAATAAAAATTCTTAAGAACTATATTACATTGAAACCTCATTTTTGTGGCAGTGAATTTTGTTTGACCATTAGATGATCTAACATATAGTATTTACTTATGAATGAATGAATGAAAGAAAGAAAGGTGAATTGTTGGGGAATGAGAAGACAAATAAAAGAAGGGAATATAAATCCAATATGTACTCTTGTCCTTCAAGCCTATAGTCCCCTGGGGCAGTAAGGCCCTCTGGTAGTAAGGGAGTAAGGCTAGACTGGTGACTGGGAGTGGCCGCCGAGACCACATAACACCGGTCTTGAAAGACCTACATTGGCTCTCAGTACATTTCCGAGCACAATTCAAAGTGTTGGTGTTGACCTTTAAAGCCCTAAACAGCCTCGGTCCAGTATATTTGAAGGAGCGTCTCCACCCCCATCGTTCTACCCGGACACTGAGGTCCAGCACCGAGGGCCTTCTGGCGGTTCCCTCACTGCGAGAAGCCAAGTTACAGGGAACCAGGCAGAGAGTCTTCTTGGTAGTGGCGCCCACCCTGTGGAGAGATCAGTTGATGAATCCCTCTACTTCACTGCCACAGAAGTGTCCCCAGTACTTGCCCAAATGAAATCAAAAGAGCCGGAAAAGTGGCAGACCAGGGTGCAGAAGCTTCTTTACTTAAGCAACATTTACCCGCACTAGGGAAAATTCAGCTCCTTCCCAACCATAAGAATCCAGTGCCATCCCAGTCACCTCCCAAACCAGCCCTGATGTCCTTATCAACATGTCGTTTCATTTTTTTTTACCATTTAGTACACATTTAGCGTTATCACATTTACCATTTACCAGTTCCACACCCACCCAATCTGGATTAATTAGGAAAATAATATGGGACTGCATTTTGACGAGGACTGTGCCATGTAGATGCTGTGCAAAACATGCATGCGTGAGCACAGGTCCACAATAAACCGTCGTGTGAACAGACCCAGTAAATGCAACAGGTCTGAAGTCCTGTTTCTGGACTTCCCAAAATGTTGGGCTATGAGGATATTCAGTCTTATTAGGCAGGACTCTTTTTATATATTCTTATGCAATTTTTAAAGAAGCATAAGGATCCATTCATGAAAGCAGAAGATTGAATATATTTGTTGATTAATAGGTGACTCTAAAAATCACATTTTACCTTGTGGCGTAATATAGTAATAAGCAGTAAATGATGGTCCTGCATTAAAGGAATTTCTGTACAACACAACAGTCATTGCGTTTGAAGTGGATATAAATACATGACGGGTAGCCAAGCAAATTCTTCCAAGTTGTCTTGATGAGCCCAGGCCACCATCATAGACGGCAATATAGTCTGTGCGGCAGTTCAAACTGTAGATGCAAATTTAGAAGTTATTATTTATTATTCATATTAATGGAGCCACGTAAAAACTCTATTTTTATTCCTCGCAACTAGCAATTCCTCAAGACATGGCATGTTAGATTATGCTGAGAGACTGGCAAAAAATTGATTACCAAATATTTGAAATACACTCAATCATCCTTCATAAATCGGAGTATTTGAAAAAATATGGGGTCAGCCTCACATTTACAGTCAGATTTTAGCAATGTTTTCTAAGTTATATGGATGTAGACAGGCATTGGGAGAAAGATTTAAGTTACCAAGCTGTGATGAATACTATCTAATTTGATTCAAGTTGTTGAGTACATGTAATGCAATGTATATTATATGTCACAGAATAAGTATTATAAAAACAAAAATACTAAGTAATACATATTCTTCACAGTTATTAAAAGCCCTGGATGTGTGTGAGAGAGGCATTCCATTCTCCCCCGCTATTCTCCTTTCAATATTCCCATATTCATTGGGGCTCATTGTAGGCATTTGTGTGAACTATATCACGTATATACGTATATGGGACTGGATTGAAAAACTCGGAATTGTATCTTGCCCATTGCCTTCTTATGTACAGTCATACCTTAGAAGTGGAACAGCTTAGTTCCCGAATGTTTTGTCTCCTGGTAGTCGCAAACCCAGAAGTGACTATTCCACTTTGTGAACTACCGTATTTTTCGCACGATTGGACGCACCGGACCATAGGACGCACGTAGTTTTTTGGGGGGGAAATAAAGGAAAAATTTTCCCCCTTTATTTCCCCCCCAAAAGCAGGTCAGGGAAACCGAACCAGGTCGAGGAACAGCGGGATAGTGGCGCTGCGCCTCCCTGCTGTCCCCCGAGCTTGTGGGGCTGGCTGATGTCTGCCTGGCGGGCGGGGCGCTCTGCTTCAGGGCGCCCCACCCGCCGGGCGGCAGGCTGCTATCCGCAGCGTGGGGAGCCCTGTGGGGAACTCCTGCAAGGCTCCCCACTCTGCGGATGTCTGCCTGGCGCGAGGGGCGCTCTGCTTCAGGGCGCCCCACCCGCCAGGCAGCAGGCTTATCCGCAGCGTGGGGAGCCCTGTGGGGAATTCCTGCAAGGCTCCCCACGCTGCGGATGTGTTCCCGAAGCGCCTGGAGCTCTGCTTTCAGGGCGCCCGACGCTCCGGGAAGCAGGATTAGCGCGGCGCTTCGCTAGCCCTGGGAGAGCCCCGCGACATCGCGGGGCTCTCCCAGGGCTAGCGAGACCTTGCCGGCACCCAGAAGCTTGGGGCGCGCTGAGCTCCGCACGCCCCAAGCTTCGGGATTAGCGCGGCGCTTCGCTAGCCCTGGGAGAGCCCCGCGACGTCGCGGGGCTCTCCCAGGGCTAGCGAGACCTTGCCGGCACCCAGAAGCTTGGGGCGCGCTGAGCTCCGCACGCCCCAAGCTTCGGGATTAGCGCGGCGCTTCGCTAGCCCTGGGAGAGCCCCGCGACGTCGCGGGGCTCTCCCAGGGCTAGCGAGACCTTGCCGGCACCCAGAAGCTTGGGGCGCGCTGTGCTCCGCACGCCCCAAGCTTCTGGATTAGCGCAGCGGTCCGCTAGCCGTGGGAGAGCCGCGCGACGTCGCGGGGCTCTCCCACGGCTAGCGGAGACCTTTCCGGCACCCAGAAGCTTGGGGCGCGCTGAGCTCCGCACGCCCCAAGCTTCGGGATTAATGCAGCGCTCCGCTAGCCGTGGGAGAGCTGGGTCTCCCACGGCTAGCGGATAGCTTCCTGAAGCCTGGAGAGCGAGAGGGGTCGGTGCGCACCGACCCCTCTCACTCTCCAGGCTTCAGCGAAAGCCTGCATTCGCTCCATAGGACGCACACACATTTTCCCTTGCCTTTTAGGAGGGAAAAAGTGCGTCCTATGGTGCGAAAAATACGGTATTTTTGGAAGCCAAATGTCCGATGGGGCTTCCATGAATTCCAATCAGAAGCCACGCTTTGGTTTTCGAACGTTTTGGAAGTCAAACGGACTTCTGGAATGGATTCCGTTCGACTTCCAAGGTACGGCCTTATCTGGTCCTAGGTGATTCTGGCTACCTCACTTGATTGTTCTAGACATCAAAAATTATCTTGGACTCAAACATTTTTGACCATATCCACAGGGGAAGCCATGCAAGGCTGTTGCAGCAAAAAACAATGAAGGTTCTGTGTAAAAGGTCTTGCCCAAAGGCCATTAAAGACTAAAGAATATTAAATGCTGTTTGTCTTTAAATGTGTCAGTCTTTAAGATGGCACAAAACTCCATGTTGTTTAGGAGCATTTTACTGGTTGCAAAAACAGATTTAGAAATTAATCAGTCAAATGTACAGAAAGGACTACGATAATGCAAATACTTACTTCCAACCAACTGATTTAAACTGTAAAACAACTCTACTGTAAAACATTGGAGCTTTAATTTCCCAGGCACACTCCACCAGCCTGCCATATCCAGGATAATCAGGGCCATAGATATATCCATATGGTTCCGAGAGGATGCCACCACACTGGAAGGGCGCTGAAGAACACAGACAGAACATTTTGTAGAGCCAGGCTCAGTTGTCATTATGCGCAAGGTATTGTAGAGATAATCTCCTCTATAGCAACATTAGCACTGCATTTTAGATCTTCCCTCAAACCCCAGGCATCTAGGACTAAAATTTCACCTAGGCACATTGGGAACACCCAACTCAGGGGGCTGGAAATATAGGATTTCTCAGAAGGCGATGATCATTTGTTCAGAGAACAAAGAAAGCAAGGAACAAAAATGTTAACTTTACATCCCAGGGCAAGATGACCATACTTTCAGTTGTGTGTGTGTTTGTATATGTAATTTTCCAAAGGCTTAAAGTCTATTCTGTTTCTACTTTGTGTCAAAACAAATATTAATCTACCTTTGGGTCATTTCTCGCTAACACTCATACAGGTTCCTGCGGTGGAGGCTGATTTGTGAAAGCAAATGGGGCACTGCCCCACCAACCTCATTCTGCTGTCAGCCGCACCCCCTGCCTGCCTGCCCAGCATCCTACGTGCAAGTCCAGGAGGTGGTACTGCTGGTCAGTTTCCTCCTTCTTAGTCTCAGTGTTAGCTTTGTACAGCTGAGCAAGGAGGAGAATGGGGACAACTAGGAAGCTGCCTACTTGATTGTGCTCTGGCTCCATATGCTGTTGGTCTTCCTGCTTTGCATTCTTTCAGCACCAAAGAGCATCAACCACGATTGTACTCAGATGGATTTGGATTTGATATCCCGCTTTATCACTACCCTCAGGAGTCTCAAAGCAGCTAACATTCTCCTTTCCCTTCCTCCCCCACAACAAACACTCTGTGAGGTGAGTGGGGCTGAGAGACTTCAGAGAAGTGTGACTAGCCCAAGGTCACCCAGCAGCTGCAGGTGGAGGAGCGGAGACGCGAACCCGGTTCCCCAGATTACGAGTCCACCGCTCTTAACCACTACACCACACTGGCTCAGATGGTCCTGAGATGCCATTATTTTAAAGGATGTAAGAAGGTACTGCGTTTTAATTCCATGCTGTATCTTCTGCCCGAAACTACATTATTCCTTTTGCTGTTCACTGTGGCAAAATTACCGGTACATGCAAAAAGGTAGGTACTCACTAGTGGTTTCTGGAGGAAGAGTTGTTGCTAAAGAAAGATGAACATTGGTCAGCAAATTGAAATATCCACATTCTACTATGTTCATTTTAAAAAATGATACATTGTACTATGTTCATTTTTAAAAAAGGGCCATAGATATATCCATATGGTTCCGAGAGGATGCCACCACACTGGAAGGGCGCTGAAGAACACAGACAGAACATTTTGTAGAGCCAGGCTCAGTTGTCATTATGCGCAAGTGTTGTAGAGATAATCTCCTCTATAGCAACATTAGCACTGCATTTTAGATCTTCCCTCAAACCCCAGGCATCTAGGACTAAAATTTCCCCTAGGCACATTGGGAACACCCAATTCAGCGGGCTGGAAATATAGGATTTCTCAGAAGGCGATGATCATTTGTTCAGAGAACAAAGAAAGCAAGGAACAAAAATGTTAACTTTACACCCCAGGGCAAGATGACCATGCTCTCAGTTGTGTGTGTGTTTGCATATGCAATTTTTGAAAGGCTTAAAGCCTATTCTGTTTCTACTCTGTGTCAAAACAAATATTAATCTACCTTTGGGTCAGGCTGATTTGTGAAAGCAAATGGGGCACTGCCCCACCAACCTCATTCTGCTGTCAGCCGCACCCCCTGCCTGCCTGCCCAGCATCCTACGTGCAAGTCCAGGAGGTGGTACTGCTGGTCAGTTTCCTCCTTCTTAGTCTCAGTGTTAGCTTTGTACAGCTGAGCAAGGAGGAGAATGGGGACAACTAGGAAGCTGCCTACTTGATTGTGCTCTGGCTCCATCTGCTGTTGGTCTTCCTGCTTTGCATTCTTTCAGCGCCAAAGAGCATCAACCACGATTGTACTCAGATGGTCCTGAGATGCCATTATTATAAGGGATGTAAGAAAGCACTGCGTTTTAATTCCATGCTGTATCTTCTGCCCAAAACTACATTATTCCCTTGGCTGTTCACTGTGGCAAAATTACATGCAAAAAGGTAGGTACTCACTAGTGGTTTCTGGAGGAAGAGTTGTTGCTAAAGAAAGATGAACATTGGTCAGCAAATTTAAATATCCACATTCTACTATGTTCATTTTAAAAAATGAACTACTTGTTACACAAAAGAGATAAAATTATATCTTATACTTGAATTCTGCATGCAAATGTAGTGAAGAGATACAGATGAACAGAAAAGTAATTTATTTTTTTATAAGTCAAGGACTTTTAAGTGAAGAACCAAAGGCGTCCCATCGCTGGCCTAGAGAGATTGGGACTGAGGTGCCCTGTTTTGCACTGCTCCTGCTACAGCCTGAGGGGAGGGCTATTCTCAAATCACCCCTGCTGCCTCTGTCTTCCCTTGAAGAAGAGAAAGGCGGTGGACATAAGTCCAAATGCCTGTAAAGCCCTTCAGTTAACAGAGATTGCAGTGTTTTTACACCATAACATGTTGTGATCAGAGATGTTTTCTATTTCAAGAGAGCCCTCTTCACTGGGTATTCATTATTCTTAACTGCATGAGCACAGAGAGAAGGCAACAGATTTGCAACTGAATGTCTGATTATTCAGTTGAAGACTTGCTTCTCTCTAATTCATACCCTTTTTGGACAAAGTATAACAATAAAGATTTAGATTGGAAACTTACTATACACAGGTTCGGTTGTCAACTCTGGAGCTGTGAGAGAAGAATTTGATAAAAAAAAGCAACCTTTATCAATATTTGTGGAGTAAAGTTCAGTTGAATAACAAGCATTTTACCACCCCAGCATGTTGTCATAAATGGACAAGCAACAGAGACGTAAGTGTGTTTAGACTTTAACAACCTTAGAACACTGAAGAGAAACATAGGAGGACTCTTGACCAAGGTTAGCTGCTGTTCTGAAGAAAATTTTAAATATCCTTATATGAAACAGAGGATATGTGGCCCTTGGGTTCCAGTGTTTTGGCTCTACACATACTAAAATAAACCAGGATATCACAATTTTTCAAGTTTTGTCCTAATTTTGTTCCTGTTTACTCTCATCTTTTCATCAGAAGGTGATATCCAACATTAGTCATATTCAGAGTAGGTCCACTGAAATAAATGAACCTACCCTGAATATGATTAAACACAGTGCTTTTTTCTGGGGGGGACGCAGGGGTACACATACCCCTAAACATTTTGTGAATTTAAGTTTGGCCTCATTGAGGGGCGATATTTCAATATGAGTAGGAAAATGAGAGTACCCCTAAACATTTTTTTTAGAAAAAAGCACTGATTCAACATTAGATTTCACCTCATGATGAAAGAATATTTACAACAACAACAAAGCAAGAATAAATACATCTGTTTCCAACAAACTTTCATTCTTTCATTCACTTACTCATTTCCATTAAGATTCACCTCCTTTAGTTTTTAAAATGCATGCCAAGAAATTATGCTGTTTTTATCTATGCTCCCATTTACCACCCCAAGTTTGGACAGGTAAGTGATGTTCAGATAATGTATATTCAATGATTTTTTACCTAATACTTTACGAAATAAAGTCTGTGTTGATTTAAAATGGGAATGGTATATCTCAGTTCTGTACTCAGTTAGTTCCACAACTTAGGGAAATAGCTGAACAAAGCATTACAAAACAAATCAATATAGAGCTTTGCAAAGCTAAGTCTGAAAAAAAATACGTACCTTTTGAATTCTCTTTCTCTTCTTGATTCCAGCTCAAATTAATTCTCTCTCCCTTGCTATTACTGATATTTTCTACAACAGATTATCTCTCCTTGTTTGGATTTCAGGATTCTCAATCACTTAATGTTAAATTTCCAATAGTTCCTTATTTGGTTTGTGTCTTTATTTTCTCTTCCATGCTAAAACCTCATTACCTCAACATTATCAAATGCTAGAGCATTTATGAGGTATCATTTAATTACATTTTGGTCAGAGTAGACCCACTGAAATTAATGAACATGACTAAGTTAGGACTCTCAATTTAAATGGATATACTCTCAATAAAATTTAGTTGACTACTACCTATGACCATTACTCTGCCAAGCCTACTGTTATGCCCAGGGACCTTCATATTCCCTACATTAAAAAAAAGGTGAGCAGATTTCATTACCTGTTGTTAATTCAGGGACTGGTGAGGTTGCCAGATCTATAAATAAAAAACATCATTTTATAAAACAGTCAACATTCTAGCAATTGTTAATGCTATAATGTCCCGCAGATGTCAAGATTCAACCTAGATTTTAAAAATATTTGCTCTTTTAAAATCAAAACCACATTTATATTTTAAACTTGTATCGGAGCAATTGTAAAATGAGTGGTTGAAATAAGTATACATTTGCATGGTGTGGCAACCATCTTGATTCCAAATAGCATCCAATTGTATCCCAACTTGTCCCTTAATGTCCAGAACAACCATTATAATATTGTAAGAAGTATCCAAATGGATAGTGAAACAAACAACTTTCCAAAATATACAGTGAAAATGTTGATTTTTTAATAAAAAATTATTTGCGAATTTAGCACTTTTGCTTTCCCTATGAAGAAAAAATGAACATTTGAAGGAAGACTGGAGGAAACAAAATGAAAAACCATGGAAACAAATAGGGGTTTGGGCAGCTTTTATGAGTAGCATAGTTCAGGATCTGAGAAGACTAAAAAAGGCAAAATTTCACTGAAAAGGTTGAGCAGAAATAGTTTGTGGATGAGTCAGGCCTTCTCCAGATAATCAAAACAGTGACACTGAACATATGTGTGGAGCGTAAGACCTCAGATCAGCTCCCCATCCAACCTGCATATGTTTTGTAGTAGGGATAAAACCAAGCCTTGCAGTGCCTGCAATTTGGCAGGCTTAATGCTCTCTGGAGAGGCATTGTTTTCTCTGTCATCCATTCCTGGGGAAAAGGGGAAAACGTTCAGCCATGTTTAAATTCCCCATCATAATCAATGGGGAGAAACAGGTCTAATTCAGACTCGGAACAAGAAGCCAAACTGGAAAGACAGAGTGGCTCTGAAGCAGAGTAGATTGTTTCCCAATATTACAAGTACAGATACAAGCCAATCTAGTGAACTGTTGCACAACCCTATTGTTTACTGCGTTAAAGCCCCTCTATTGTAATCCTGAAGCAAATGCCCACAATGTCAAATTCTAATCCGATCTACAAAATTCTATTCTTGCAAAAAATATTCAGCTGCATGGAAAGTAAATGTATGAGTTCCAGGTTTACCTGTTATATCGTAATAGGCAAAAAAGCCAGAGCCTGCACGATAGGACTCTCTGTGGAGTAAAACTTTCATGAAGCCTGAACGTGAAACGAATTTCTGACTTGGGCCATCACATATTTGCCCAAGTAGTGCTGAATGATCTACCATTCCATCATAGATTTGAATGTATTCACGAGTACAGTCCAAACTGTGGAGGAAAAAGTGTCATTAGTCATACTGTACAAGGCAAAGAAATTCCTGCATTCAAAAGTATCAGATCATGATGACAATGATTTTATTATTTATATAATTTTGATGATTTCATTTTCTCCTCACATTCTTAACTTTAAAAACTCTGGGACTTCCGGGTTGGCGCCATCGGCGAATGGCGGAGTTCCTCCGACGGGAGGAACGGGCTCCTTGGAAATTGGGGCTTCCTGCCGCGGCGAAGGCGGGGGCCCATTAGAAATCCCAGGCGGAGGAAGCCTGGGACCGTGGGGTTCAGCAGAGCACCAAGAGCACCTCCCCTACTCACAAGGAAACCCATTTTTGGGGCTCCGGAGTAAAGTGGGGGGAGCAGCGCGGTGCATCGAACCGATCGCTATTTCCATGGAGGGAAGCCGCGCAGCCATCGTCGGAGAGCGCTGACTTTTTCCTGATGACATTTGGACTCTAAATCAAGTACCCGTGAGTAAAAACGGAGAATTGGATTAAGAACTTATAAATTTTATGAATTAGGCATGAAGCGGGAAGGTGTAAACAGGAAGTCCACCTCCCGTTTTTGTATATGGATTGAAGCAAAGACCTTGCAATCTAATAGCTTAAAAAGTCTTTTTAAAGTTGGAATTTTCCTGCACCCATAATCAACAAAACCCCCCTTGGAAGCAGGAAAGGGGGGGGGGAATTTGACTGTTTAATCCTGCAGGAAGTGAGAGAAGGAATATAAGTTTCTACCGTCCCAAACCTGGGGATGGGGTATCAGGACAGAATTTGCTTCAGACATCCATCGATTGAAAGTGGAGAACTTTGACAGATAAGGAAAAATAAAAGAAAAGAGAAACAAAATAACTTCAACGCCACCTTCTGCTTTTTTGCTTTAAAGAAACAAAGTATTTGAAACTGAAGGGACTTTGAAATCGAAAGTAACTTCTTTGTTTGATACTTTCCGGAAAAATGGATACAAATAGAAACTGTGTCCCCTAGAGGGAGCTTGTCAGTTTGTGGTCTCAGCTAACATACGTGAGGCTTTGGACCGTGGGAACAGCCGTCTGACTTTGTTTTTGAACAGGAATGTTTTGGCAGGAAGGTTTGGTGTCTGCCCTTGACAGGACTAATGCTCTCCTTGAGCAGCTGTCTGGGAAAATGAGCCTGATGAATGAAAAATTAGACCTTATGAGTGCTGTGGCCAGCGAATATGATTTAACAGGGACCAAGGATAAAGAAGTTGCACAGCGATCAACTCAGGAATCTGGCTTGACAAAGCAAGTTCAAGGGCAGACGGAGAAGGAAGAGGCAGCAGTTATTTCCTATAAAACACAAATGGTAAGACCCAAAGTTCTACAGGAACAAAAGCTTTTGCCTTGGATGATGGAATTTGGAGAGAGCTGGGAAGCATTTGAAGTTAAGGAAGTTTTCTACTCTAGTGGGACTCTGAAACAGGTGATCAACTACTTGGACAAATACTTTTTGGACTATAAAGATGAGGATGGGGAGTGGAACTGGGGGAAGGAGACAATCAGATGAAGAAAAATGGAAATTATTACAGGATGGAACCCTCCAGAGACCCACTCCCCCAGAAACAACAGTCAAAGAACTGCGTAAGTACAAACAAGAACAAAAAAATCTGCAGAAGGGGCCTAGAAGAGACTTAAGAGCCTCGGACATCAGAACACTGGATTGATGGACTAAGTAATGGACAGAAAGGACTGATATGACCCGAAACCAGGATGAAGGGACGTTGGATGAAAATTAGAAATTGTTTATGTTAATTTTGGAATTAATGCAATATTATTGAAATTTGAGGGATTTGCCGGAAAGGAACTAAATTGGCTTTAGTAGAAATGTTCTTAAAGAAAAATGTATGAATATGTTGTGTTTTTGAAATTTTAAGATTTTTAACATAAGATAAGGTTGAATGGGGTAAGGTAAATTGAATAATAGATTATTTTAAAAGAGGGAAAGGGAATGTTGTTTAATAAATAAGATAGAGTGTGGAGATTAACTATATAAATTAAGATTGAGAAATATGGGAAGATTTTGCTGAAATAACTAAACTAGAATACAAAAAGGAAGGTGTGAGGAGGTTCAAGAACTAAGCAAATGAAAAACTGTAGTTGGAGATTTGTATTTTTTCTTTTTATTCTTTTTTCTATTTTTTATTTTTTGGGCTAGGGTCGGGGATCTTTTATGTATTGATGAAATTCTGAATAAATATTATTTTATTAAAAAAAAACACCTTTAAAAACTCTGTCTCCTCTCCCACCTGCGGTTTATGACCCCTTGAGTTCAGATAATTTTTTGTTGTAATACATCAACAGCAAAATCCTATGCATGGCTAATTGGAAGCAAGTACTCTTGAGTTCCCTGAGACCTGCTCCCAGATAAGTAGGACATATAACGGCCTTGTAGCACTAAATGTTGTAGCATTTTGATTAATGTAATGTCTCATTGGTTGGTAAGAAATAGGCTCTGGAGGAAAGATTTTGGAATACATCTCACAATGTTTTAATGGGAGCCAGACCTGGAGCCAGCACATCATTCCTCTCCTACTTTAAATATATGCAGCAGAACTCTAGCAGGAGTGCTGGCTCTGGACAGCTAGACTTCCTAGTGTGGCCATAATATTGATTTTCCCACAGAAGTCATGAGCACTGTTTTGCAGGGAAATTTGGAAACTTCATTTATTTATTTAGTATATAATATGCATGAGCCCACAGGACATGGTCACCTTAAAGACTTGCATTTCTCACCCTTTCCCAAGGCAATCAGCATCTGGCACATTGCATTCAGCTCGCTTTGGTTTTATTAAATTTGTGAAAGACTCAGAAGCTTCAACAGCCCAAGTGAGATATGCAGGCCATAGTTGACTCAGATTCCCTGGCACTTATGGAATTGCCAGCCATTTTTTACTAACTTTGCAAATAACAGAACAACTGGAATGGATTCTGAAACTGGAAAATGTTCTTTCTTTCTTTCTTTCTTTCTTTCTTTCTTTCTTTCTTTCTTTCTTTCTTGGCAGAGCACAGTGATAGAGTATATAAGGGATGAGACAATCTTTCACATATATGCTTTAAGGATATGCATGCTTTTATTCCTTTGTGATTTCAGTAATGATGAAATTTTTTGAAAAACAAATTAAACTGGCACACCTGTAACCCACAACAGGGTGGTGGTGTCAGCTCCCTCACACCTTGCAGATGAACCTGATCCATCAACAAGCTGCTCAGGTGAAAAGCCCTTATACATGATTTACACAAGGTATTTTTTTAAAAATGTCAAATCAATCAGTTTATGTATTATATCAATTCTGCATCCTTTTGCTCTAGTTATTCAAAACAAGCAAACATATAAAGAAAAAGAAAAGATGAAAGAACCAGGAGAATATGAAAAGGGGTAAGTGTGGAAGAAGAGAAGCAGAAAGTGAAGAAAAAGATTAAGGAGGAAAGGAAGCATGACGAAATAATTTCCTCTTCAGTGGTACCTATTGCCAAAGTACAAGCGAGACGCTGACAGTACACAACACTAGCTTTCAGCAACGGAGGACTTACCTGAAATAATCAAGGGTTAGCACTATAGGAATCTTATAATATGAAACAATTGTCCAGAGACACTCTACGACGTCTCCACCACCATTGTAATATGGGGGAGAAAATGACCTCGATGGATCTGTGAAAGTCTTGCCACAACTGTAGCTACCTAACAAATACAAAAATAAACGTTGAGTATTGCGTCAAAGCACTGCTTCCCCCCCACCCCTCCCAAAGCAGATCCCAGTAACAACTTTCCAGCTTCACCAAGACCCAGAGGACAGAATCACAAGGACTGAATTCCACGTGGTCCTTCTGTCTTCTTCAGCCATCTTCAGCATCACATCTGTTGTGTGTCATGAAGCCAGGTGATCTTTGCACCATTAAGCAGAGAGCTGCCATTGGCAGAAGAATAAATACTAGATCTGCTATGAGCCCAGTGAATCCAGCTTTTCTTTGCAGCACAGGCCTATAGATAGGTTCAGCTCATGGTAGGCATTCTTATAAGAACAAGAAGCCAGAATGCAAAGAATTCAAGGGTTTTTCTGAATGTTTTGCTATGGGTATTTTGGGGGGGAAATCTGATGTGTTTGATTTAGTACCCTAATAAAATATGCTGTTGGGGGGGGAGGCAGTTTCTCCTTCTCCTTCTCCCCTTCTGGCCAAATATTTAACTTGAGTTAGAACTGTCCCCCCCCCAAAAAAAAAGATTTCAAGCTTATTATTATTTTTTATTATTTCTTAAATTTGTATACTGCCCTTCATCCAAAGATCACAGGGCAATTCACAAGATATTGGGTCAGGCTGGGTTGGACCCAGATCAGCTTGAGTCAGATTGGGTTGCTCCAGTGTGCCAGATAGGGCCCTAGATTGCATTGAGGGGCATGCACAGCCCCAGCAATTAGGCTCCTCCAACAGCATCGGAAGGGGTTTGCAGGCTACTTACTAGCAAATTTCTGCATGAGAAGGCAATGCTATATTGTCAGCATGCCGGGAACTGGAATTCAACATTATATTATGGAGCAGAAGAGATGCTGCTTACCTTTAGCTACTGTTGTGGCAGATTTCACTCCTATTGAAAAGAAAAGGGAGAGAGGAAATAGAATCAAGAAAACATTGCAAGAATACAATTTCAAAATTGTTCATTGAATTGATGTGGTTTAATATGTAGCAGGAAATGTTCTTCATTAAGAAGAAAAAAATGGCTTCATTGAATGCCATGCTCGCAACGACAAAAAAATATGCCACTTTTGCTAGCAAGAAGAAGAAGAACAAGGACACTCCTCTAGCAAATCCAATTTCTGCAACCATTATAGTGGAATACAGTTACAAATCTTAGGGGTCTCATACGTAGGGCTTCAATCTTAAATGCAATCAAGTTGTGTTCTTACAAACAAAAAGAAACCCCAAATGAGTAAGAGCACTGTATGCTAAAAGTTCCATTTCATCTGAGCTCAAAGCAGTAGCTGTACAAATTGGAAGTTGTACATTGGAGGCCAATCTGCAACACTAGCTCACTTCTGGAGGCAGGGCCAGAGTGACATACATGAGGGAGAACCTGCTCTTTCTAGTATACTCCTGGATTGTAATTCCAGGATTAGGCCACAGCACAGCACTGTTGTGGCTGGCAGTAGTAAAGAAGAACCATTGCCAACTTGCATCCCTCCCCCTCCTTCCTTGATTGCTGGTTGACATTGCTGTAGACAGAGGTTAGCCATTAGTTGACAGGGCTGGGCAGTGGTGTAGCAAGCCGCTTGGGTGCCCGGGGCTGGTGCATGCACTGCCCACAGGGGTAGGGCAAGCCGCCCATGGGGTGGGGCAAATAAGCTGAGCTCCAGGCCATGCTGATTTTCCAGGCCATCCACAGCCAAGCAGGAGGTGGTGGCTGGGGCACTCTGCAGGCTGTGCGACACCCGGGACACCCTTTGGGCAAGCCTGCCACCCAGTGTGGACCACCCTCCCTGCCCCCACCCCTTAGCTATGCTACTGGGGCTAGGAAAGGATTTCTCTCACAGCCAGAGCAAATTTTTATGTTACTGTATAAACTGCAAACGGGAGGGGGGGCAATCAAAGAGCGGAGTTTGAACAATTACATTTTAGACTCTTGAAATGGGATGTTATTCAACAAAACTCAGTTCTGTTTTAAGAGCAGCATTTCACAATGTTTGACTAGTATTAAGGAAATGAATGTTAGTACTTAAATTCAAACAAGATGAATCATTCTTCTGATCATCTTTATAACCTTACTGGCTTCTGGAAATCTGATAGCATTTAATTTACGATTACTGCCACTTAACCACACACAGAGTAGCTCCTTTTCATAATCCTTTTGTTCTGAAGTGGTGCTAGTATAATCTCAAAATGCTTCCATACAACCCCAGCGAAACCACTGTAGAAGGCGTAATTTGCAGAAGACAGTAATTGCACCACAGCAAACCTTTTGCACCTGCCATTGGGAGTATCTTTCATAGAGGTCAAAGAGGAACACACAGGACACAGGCTTTGGATAAACATGGGTCTCAACTATGACTGTTGCTGTCAAACATGACTATGACTGTTGCTCAGCATCCCAGTGGCATAGCAATGCAATCATCATCTCAGGTAGACTGATCCACACCTACACCCCTGGCACCCCTTAAGGGGGCCCTCCTCATGTAAGGCAATGAGAACCCTAGCTCCATTCCTTCTCAACTAAGCTACAGCTTGGTGCCAGAGCATCTGCTTTCCACGCAAAAGCTTCCAGGTTCAGTTCCCAGCATCTCCAGGTAGGGGCGACTTGTCCTACAAGCTAAAGAACACCAAAATACAAATATTTAATAAGTGAATTTACTAAAGCTACTACTGCTGAGCTTAAAAAAGGTTAAGGTTAATAGAGGAGTTTATTGTTTTATATAAATACATTTAAAGGTTATTAAAGAAGGCTAAGCTTTCTGTATGACTGTGGGAAAGTATAATCAAAAATAATGATTAGCAATGAAAGGCTATTTCTGCAATAGTTGGGAGATGTGTGAATAATATCCAGGGGGAAGAACAATGAGTGTATTGAGCCTTGCTATGAAACTAATTTTTACAATGTTTGTAGCCTGGCAGCATGTAATTTCTCTCTCTCCCTACCCACTGGTGGAGTGCTTTGAAATATTGGCTAAGAATCTGCATGTATGGCTTTTGAAGCGGGCTACTCCTTCATGTGTTAAATGAGGAGTACATCGGCTCCTGGTCAAAAACCATGGCATGCAAGGCCTCTTTGATAGGTCTTTCAACCTTTTTCTTACCCACCTGGGGTATGATACTGCCCTCAAAGCTGTGAATATCACCTTTAGTGATTTGCGATCTTGCTCACAGGTGCCCCGTGGTCCATTTGTGTCAGGATTCCAATACCTACAAGGTTTTTTGTTATCTCCCTAGCTTAAGAATTTGACTGTATCTAACTATCACCATCTGTTTTCTAAAGTCAGATTAAATGTTTTCCCATCTGAAGTGCTGAGGGGAATATTGGCTGGTGTCCCATACCGAGATAGGCTGTGCCCATGTTCCCAGGATGTTGAATATATGGAACATATTTTAATAAACTGTAGTTTGTATAAACAGGTTCGACAGCATCTAATCAATCCAATACTATCGGAACAACCTAGAAATACTGACCCATTTCATGTCAAGGTTTTCCTTGAGGATAAGTTTGATACTGTTACACTTCTTGAAGGCAATAAAAATAAGAAATCAGTATGTACCAGCTAAAGCTCCTCTGTTGGCCAGCAAGGCTGATCTTACACCTTAATAACTGTTAATATGTACTATTGTTGTACTGTGTATTTTGGGTCTAAGGACCACGATAAAGTGGTCTCTCTCTCTCTCTCTCTCTCTCTCTCTCTCTCGTGTGTGTAAATATAGATATTATAGATATTAAATTAAGAGATGTCCCATATGTGTTTTTTTCACCCAGACATTACCAGATCTGGGTCTGATGTCTGTGATTGGGTGTTCAAAACTGGGGAATGAGTGCAGAAGAAGGAATTGGACCTCAACTGTTGTGCTTTAACTGACCCACAGCTTATGCTTTCAGTGCTCTATTTGCGCACCTAGGTCTGTGGAATTACAGTGAGCAGGACTGAAGTGGACTGGTTCCTCCACCTCGATTTTTCTTACATCCATGCTGATGTTCACAGCCTGTTGCCTCTTCCCTCTTCCCCAACACACACACAAAAATACTTCACCTTGAGGACAGGGAGTAGGTAGGAGAGGGCAGAGTGCTCTTGAAAAGGCTAAGACCCAATAGATTTCTGCTTCAGGAGGAAATGATGTTCTGAGCATCTCTTCCCACTGTGAATGGTGGTGGGCTGATCTTCAAGCCTCCATCATTGAACCCTTTGGAGAAGCCTTCACCAGCCTGGTGCTCTTTGGATGTTTTTGGAAGCCTACTCCCATCAGCCCCATTCATGTTGTTTGGGATGGGAGTTATAGGCTAATGACATCTGGAAGGCACCAGGTTGAAGAAGACTGCTTTTGAGAATTATGGCTGAATGCTCAGAGAAACCTCTCAAGGGTTTTCAAGAATTCAAAAGTAATGCTTATGGAATGCAACCAACTGGCAGTGGCGTAGCGTGGGGGGTGCAGGGGGGGGCCAGCCGCACCGGACGCAACATCTGGGGTTAGGGCAAATCCACAGGTTAGGGGGCGCAAATCCACGGGTTAGGGGGCGCAAATCCACGGGTTAGGGGGCGCAAATTACTTGCCTTGCCCCGGGTGCTGACAACCCACGCTACGCCACTGCCAACTGGGGTGGTGGAGAGTCCCTTGATGCCTTCTCAGTTATAAATAGCTGCATGGAATGGATATTCTCCGTAATAGGAAATATTTGGGCAAATGGGGGGGGGATTTCTTTGCATTGACATAGATATTTGCTTCCATGCAAATACAGTTATGACAACCTCTTTAACTACAGAAGTCAGAAACTAGATGAAGCTGCTAGTCCAGTATCCTGTTCTGCCTGTGGGAAGCCTGCAAGCAGGACCTGAATGTAACAGCAACACTCAGTAACTAGAGTTATTTAAGGCAGATTCAAGTAAAATACAATTCAAGCAAAAATGTTACACAGCATAGTACCTTGGACACTTAATATTAAAAAGTGATGTATTTCCAATTAGTTAATTAATAAAATGTGTAAGTTGTGGTTGGTTCATTTTTAAAAATGGAAGTTTTTCAAATTGGATGCAACCCATGCTGGGGGTGATGACATGGGTAATGCACAAGAAAACACAGGAAAGAGTGATGTGTAGGAAAGGAAAAGCATTTCCAAGTCATTGAATTCCTCCTCTCTAAACCAGTTTGAGTACACCATCACACACCACAGACGTCATGGTCACGCAACAACCTACGCTGTTTCTGGCAGGGAGAGAAAGGAACTTTCTGGCACTGACCAACCCTTGCCAACCTTCTCTTCCCATCCCCAGCCACACCTTCCCTCCTGGCTTCCAAACTTTTCCCCTTTGTGTGGGTGGCAGGATCTGGCACACAGTGCTTCTTGTTTAAGACTGATGTCCAGGAGAGCCTACAAAACAATAGTCGCAACTCGCATCAAAATATATTTCAGCACAGCTAGTCACTATACAAAACATTATTGAGCCAGGGAATTTATAGTCCAAACCAGCTGGAGTGGAACAACTACTTAAAAATAAGTTTTAAATAAGTGAGACCTACAACAAAAATGTTGGCGTGTGCAGTGGCCTCAGTTCAAGATTCCCTACTCTAATTCAGTTCCCCCTACCTAGGAATGGGCAAATCTGTGCATCTTGGTTTCTCCCCATTCCTCATGTTTCCAATCCTTTCAGTTTTTCACATTTCCAATCCAGTTTGTAATTTTTAAAGTCCTCATAAAATTTATCAGCATTTTAGTGCAAATTTCTCCTAATATACACATGCGGAATGCATAATTGCCCCTTTGTACACGGGTGGTGCTGTGGGTTAAACCACAGAGCCTAGGACTTGCTGATCAGAAGGTTGGCGGTTTGAATCCCCGCGATGGGGTGAGCTCCCATTGCTCGGTCCCTGCTCCTGCCAACCTAGCAGTTCAAAAGCATGTCAAAGTGCAAGTAGATAAATAGGTACTGCTCCGGCGGGAAGGTAAATGGTGTTTCCATGCGCTGCTCTGGTTCGCCAGAAGCAGCTTAGTCATGCTGGCCACATGACCTGGAAGCTGTACACCGGCTTCCTCAGCCAATAAAGCGGAGTGAGCGCCGCAACCCCAGAGTCGGCCACGACTGGACCTAATGGTCAGGGGTCCCTTTACCTTTACCTTTACACATTATTTTGCAAAGCTGTTTCCCCTAATATAATGCATTTCATCTGTTATTTTCACTTACATATGCATGTTTAGGCACCCTTTATCCTAGTCTATGCATTTGTGTACGCATTACTTATCCACAGAATAAGATCTCGAAGGATGGCTGTATTTTAGTTTGTGTATTGTTTCAGAAAGTGTGTGGTAGGTAGGTTCACCTTTAAATGTGAACTGAATCAAATTGCTCCCCTCTGTCCCTTGGTTTTCTGTACCTGCCCCCAACAGTCAATATTTATTGGCCCCTGAGGACACCGTTCCTTGTGTGGAATGCTTGGTCCACTTTTCTTCTGTAAATTCCATGCAAATCTTGGGTTTCCCTTAAACCTATTGATAGCCTCCTTTTTCATTTTTGGAGTGCCATTTTGGCTCTGTAAGATATGAGGCCTTCCCGCTTAGGATTGGGAATAGTGTATGTGATTACTGATCAGTTCTATTGATTGTGGGAGGGGCTTCTTTCCACAATCCTTCTAAACTGGTTTTAGAAGTGAATCTTCCATCCTATTGCCCATGATTAGGGAGACCCTGAATCTGTGCATGCAGGAAACCTGTGGCAACATCTGCTGGGACCAGGAGTGCCAATTTGGCCCCAGGACCATGGGTGCCATGTAGCATGCATGGCCTTGGCACCAAATTTTGTGGGTGCCCAGCCCCTTCATGGTGAATTTTTGTGAGTGCTCAGGCATCCAGGGCCCCAGGGAGTTGGCGCCTATGGCTCTGACCTTCTGGGGGCAATTGGGGGGAGGGGAGATCCCATAGCACATCAAAAACATGAACTTCAACTGGGCACATGCTGAAGAAGCTGCTACGCTCTAAAATACATCTAATCCATTTTACATTGAGGTAAAAACTGCCTTTCAAGCTTGAGTGTTCTATAGGTAGTATAAGTAGGAGCACAAATTTGATGCTCAGAGGTTCTGGACTCCAGGTGGTGTTTACCTAGAGCCAAGGGTGCCAGTGTCTGGGGCCAAAGCACTTTAGCTTTCTCCCCTATCTTATTTTAGAGAAGGACGGGCCAACTTCTCTGGACAATTGAGGGGACGCACGTGACATCATAAAGTCACACAACATCAGAATGCCATGCAGTGCCACACGCGTGACATCAGAACGTTGCATGATATCATGTGCATGATGTTGGGATGTCATGACAGGACCCCTAAATAGTCTGGAGAAGCTGGCACCTCTGCCCAGAGCAGATCCTTTAAAATTAATGGACCTAACTTAGTCATGTTCATTAATTTTAGTGTGTTTACTATATGTAAAACTTAGTTGAATACCACCCAATATGTTTGGGAAGATTCCTAACAACAACAAAAATGTTGATTTAGCTTCTTAATGACCTTTTTGAAAACTGTTTTTCTTTCAAGCCTCCAGTGGAGAGGGATAGAAAAAGTTCCCTAGACAATCTACCTAGTCTACATCTCAAAACTATTCTCTGAAATCTAGCTTCCCTGAATTGAATGCCAAATGTAATCAAAGTAATAAATCATTCAATAATTTCCCCCAAACAATGCCAAGGTTGTGAAATGAATAGAGTAATGGTTTTTAAATTATTTTCTAACGAACACTAACATACCGATCCAGCCAAAGTTCACCCCACTGAAACCAGTAGAATAAATTGGTTTTGACAAACTTATCCCGTTGCTCCCGACAAGATTTGCGGTCTGTTCCTGTTTCCTTAGAAACAAGTCAATGGCACTTACTTCCCTGAAAGTGTGCATAAGCGTGGCTAACTCTAGATGGATGCACAGACCATAATCTGAAGACCAAGTTCGCAACAAAGCAAATGACAGTCAATTTTCTACAGCAAAGTTGACTATGACTATGCTCTAAAAGGTTCAAGCAGTTCATATATGAAAACAGTCAACATTCGTTTCTTCATAGGAATATATGAAGCTGCCTTATACGGACTTAAATTCATTGGTCCATCTACATCAGTATTGTCTACACTGACTGGCAGAAACTCTCCAGTGTTTCAGTCAAGAGACTTTCCCAACCCTATATGGCGATACCAGGGTTGGAACTTGAAGCCTTCCCTACCACTGAGCTACAGACTTTGTCCTTTATTTCTCAATTCTGATTTAAGCATTTATTTATTTAAATTGCTGTTTGACTTTATATATGCAAGACAGAAAAGAAGGTGAAGCAAAGATCGATCTCTCTCTCTCTCTCTCTCTCTCTCTCTCTCTCACACACACACACACACACACACACCACATTACCTGATGCTGAGAGTAGCACCCAAAGGAAGATCACAGTTTGATCCATCTTGGGCTAAGATTCCAGGAGAATTAGGAATAGTAACCTTCAGAATGAAGACACCTGAACATATATAGTGTGGTGGGGCTGAAATTTGATCTGCCCTTTTTCGTCAGCTCCTGGGAAAAGGAAGTTCTCTAGAAGGACTTTCGCGATGCCAGACAATGTTTGTTAAACTATGCCAACAATACGAGTGCATATCAATGCCACTTCCCTTATCTTTAATTTTTTATACTTGTTGTGTAAACAGTCCTCAATATGAAGCCCAGCGCTTGTCATTCTCCTTCTTCCTTTTTAAAAAAGGGGGGCTATTTTCCAGAAGGAAATGAGTGTGAATTAGATACCATCAAGTGCACCTACTTGTCACTTCATTTGGGAGAATGCCAGCAGGCAAGATTCTCTTAAGGAGAGTGTTGCACAAGAAATATTTGTGCCCATATGCAGCCAGGATCTAGAGAAACACACAGCTACTTCTGGGTGCTGAACTTGAGCTTTGGGCTTCTGTTTCTTTTTTTTAAAAAAAAATATTTTTTATTGAGTTTCTTTTCTTAAGGTCATAGACACAAAATTGGAGTAAGAAATTACAAGAAACAAATACAAAATCAAAATAATAGAAAGGTCATTACAATCCAATTTTCAGTAGTTTTTTCAATATTCCAAATGGACTTCCCCACATCCTCCCGACTCTGCGTTCTTTGTAATAAAAGTTTCAGCAATTTGTTACCTTATTTCTTAACTTACTGTATCTTTCAGTTATTATGTTTCTAAATTCACAATATTATATCCCAACTTTGTACATTTAAAATTAACATAATAAAATTATTTCATATTACCACCTCTTTTTTCTTGTCTTAATTTTCAGTTTACCTAATCAAGTTGCTAACAAAAAAATTTCATAATCGTGCGTATTTCTTAACATTCATACAACTTATAGTGTTTTTGCAAATAGTCCTTAAATTTTTTCCAGTCCTCTTCCATTGTTTCCTCGCCCAAATCTCGGATTCTGCCAGTCATTTCAGCCAGTTCCATGTAGTCCATCAACTGCGTCTGCCACTCCTCCAGCGTGGGTAAATCTTGAGTCTTCCAGTGCTTTGCAATAAGGATTCTTGCTGCTGTAGTAGCGTACATAAACAGAGTTCTGTCCTTCTTTAACACCTTCTGGTCCACCATGCCCAATAGGAAGGCCTCTGGTTTCTTGGGAAAGGTATACCTAAATACCTTTTTTAACTCGTTATAAATCATTTCCCAGAAGGCCTTCACTTTTGGGCAGGTCCACCAAAGATGAAAGAATGTCCCTTCTGCCTCCTTACATTTCCAACATTTATTATCAGACAAGTGATATATCTTAGCTAACTTGACTGGGGTCATGTACCACCGGTATATCATTTTCATAATGTTTTCTTTCAAGGCATTACATGCCGTAAACTTCATACCGGTGTTCCATAGCCTTTCCCAGTCTTCAAACATAATGTTGTGTCCAATATCCTGTGCCCATTTTATCATGGCAGATTTCACTATCTCATCCTGTGTATTCCATTTAAGCAGCAAGTTATACATTTTCGAAAGTGTCTTAGTTTTTGATTCTAACAATTCCGTCTCTAATTTCGATTTTTCCACCTGGAAACCAACTTTTTTGTCCATTTTAAAAACCTCTTGAATTTGAGCATAATGTAGCCAATCCCGCACCTTATTTTTTAGTTTGTCTTGGCTCTGCAACCTCCATTTGTCTCCAATTTTTTCAATTATTTCCCAATATTTTGGCCAGTAGGCCTCCATATTGGGTCTTTTCCTAGCCTTGGCCTCCATCGGTGAAAGCCATCTCGGGGTCTTGCCCTCCAATAAGTCTTTGTATTTTGACCAGACCGCAAAGATTGCTCTTCTGACAATATGGTTTTTAAATAGTTTATGAACTTTGACCTTGTCGTACCACAGGTAAGCATGCCAACCAAAAGCATTGTCAAACCCTTCCAGATCCAGGACATCAGTGTTCTCCAACAGAAACCAATCTTTCAGCCAACAAAAGGCTGCAGATTCATAATACAACCTCAGGTCCGGCAGGGCAAACCCCCCTCTTTCTTTTGAATCAGTTAATATTTTAAACTTTATTCGGGGCTTTTTGCCCTGCCAGACGAATTTAGATATATCCTTCTGCCACTTTCCAAAACATTCCACTCTGTCCACGATCTGTAGGGTTTGAAACAAAAATAACATTTTCGGCAATACATTCATCTTTATAGCTGCAATTCTGCCCAACAAGGAAAGTTTCAACTTTGACCAAATTTCCAAATCCTTCTTAATCTCCGACCAACATTTTTCATAATTGTCTTTAAATAAATTCAAATTTTTTACGGTCAAATGAACCCCTAGGTATTTCACTTTTTTAACAACACTTAGTTCTGTTTCTTTCTGAAACCCATCTGTTTCTGTGGATGTCAAGTTTTTGGCCAAAACCTTGGTCTTTTGCTTGTTCAGCTTAAATCCCGCCACCCGACCAAATTCATGAATCAGTTCTAAAACTCTTTTTGTACTAGATACTGGCTCCTGTAGTGTTAAAACTAGATCATCTGCGAAAGCTTTCAGTTTATATTGTTTCACTCCGACCTCTATTCCTTGTACCAACCGGTCCTCTCTGATTATGTTCAATAGCACCTCCAGGACTGAGATAAATAAAAGAGGAGATAACGGGCACCCCTGTCGTGTCCCTTTTTCAATTTTAAACTCCTCTGTCACCACATTGTTCACTATCAATTTAGCTTTTTGCTCTGTATAGATTGCTTGTATTCCATTTTCAAACCCCCGTCCCACTCCCATCCCTTCCAAATTTTTCTTCATAAACATCCAAGAAATATTATCAAAGGCTTTCTCTGCATCAATAAAAATTAACACCGCTCTCCTATTGATATTTGTTTGTAAAAGTTCCAAAATATCAATAATGTTCCTGGTGTTGTCAGACAAATGTCTACCTGGGAGAAAGCCAGCCTGGTCCTTGTGAATTACTTCATTCAAAACTTTTTTAAGTCTACTTGCCAAAATGTCTGCAAAAATTTTGTAATCCACATTTAGGAGTGAGATGGGACGGTAGTTCTTAAGTTGAGTCTTTTCAGTTTCCACTTTGGGAATCAATGTGATGAAGGCTTCTTTCCACGATTCCGGTGCCTTCTTCCCCTCCATAATCTGGTTGCATACCTCTAGCAAAGGTTGTATCAAATAGTCCTTCAGAGTCTTATAGTATTTGGAGGTGAGTCCATCCGGGCCTGGAGATTTGCCTAATTGCATATTCTGAATGGCGCCTTCAATTTCCTGTTGTGTTATTTTACAGTTCAGGATTGTTCTCTTTTCCTGAGTTACTTTTGGTAGACCGTTAGATTTTAAAAATTGGTCTATCTCGAACTCTTTCTGTGGCCCCTGTGCATAAAGTTCTTTGAAGTATCTCTGGAAGCACCTTCTGATTTCTTCTGGTTTCTGAACAATTATCCCATCAATCTCTAGATTTGTAACTGTATTCAATTTTTGTCTCTTTTTCAACTGCCATGCTAGCAGTTTTCCACATTTATTTGCTGATTCAAATGATCTTTGCTTCATTTGTTTAATTTTCCATTCAACCTCTTGATTTATCAATTTCGAATATTGTGCTTGAAGGAATTTGATTTCTCTCAGCACCTCCTTCGATTTTGGATTAGTTCTCAATTTTTTCTCTCCTTCTCTTATTTTCTCCAAGATCTTCTCCTTTTTTCCATTCCAGAGTCTTTTCTTAATCGTATTTTGTTGTATCAGAAACCCTCTCATAACTGCTTTACTTGCGTCCCAGATCGTTCTTTTTTCTACCGTTGTATTCAAGTTTATTTCAAAATAATCTCTTAAAGTTTTTTGGGCCTTCTTCACAACCTCCTGATCTCTTAGTAAGGTGTCATTCATTTTCCATCTGAAGGAACCGGTTGGAGTGAGTCTCAATTCCACTTTCAAGGCGTTATGGTCGGAGCAGGTTTTTGGGCAAATTTCCACTTTTCTAGTCTTAGGTGCCAGCCCTCTAGTTGTCCAAATTTGATCGATCCTTGTCCATGACAAATGGGCCTCAGAAAAGAAAGTTCCTTCTTTACCTAAGGGGTTCTTTGTCCTCCATATGTCAATCAAGTCCATATTGTCAGTTAGTTCAAAGAAAGTTTTAGGCAGTCTGCCGTCTTTTGTCAGATTTTGGTTTTGTGACTTATCCATGTTTGTAGATACCACCCCATTCATATCTCCCATCATGATGATGTTGGAATAGTCCAAATAGTCCAGCATAGTCTCATGCAGCTTCTTAAAAAATTCCGATTTCCCATCGTTGGGTGCATATATTCCTAATATCAGGAATTTTTCTCCCTGTGTCTGAATTTCAATCGCCAAAATTCTTCCTTGTTCATCTTTGAATAAAAATTTCGGTGACAGACTCTCCTTTGCATAAATTACCACTCCTCTTTTCTTGACTCTGTCCGATGAGATAAATTCCTGGCCAAAAATATGGAACGCTTCACGAATTTGCGTGTCATCCTTGCGCAGGGGCCATGCTAATCTTCTCTGTATCGTTCCAATTTTAGTATATGTGCTGCCGAAGCGAGCACTGGGCTTCTGTTTCTTGAAGTCATTCATATCAGTTATTAGCTGTGAGAGAATGTGGCTGCTTTCAAAATGATGTTGTCAGGGGCTCGGGAGCAGAGGCACAGGGGAGAGAGGAAATGGAGAGCGAAGGGGAAGAATCTGAGGGCAGCGGAGGGGAGAATGACAGTGACCCGAGAGATTCCATGAGCCTCTCCAGCGAATCAGAAGATTCCCAGAAGGGGGCGCCGATGGTCAGGGCAAGGGGGGTCCCAGGGGGGACGCACCAGAAGCAAGGGGCCAGCGGGGACTCCCAAAGCAGCAGCGGGAGATCAGGACCAGCTTCCCCACCAGAGCGTAGTGGGGGGGAAGAGTCCCATGTGTCAGGGCCAGCGTCTCCTCCAGCAGGGAGAGAAGATGAGTCAGGGCTGACCACGCCTCTATCGGA